CGCTATCGCCTAAACCGGTACCGCCTACCGACTACCGTCTAAATTTGAAGCATAATTCGAATATCTGAAAATTATTGCAAGGCGTTCGGGAATATTTTGCTCGTCGATACCGTTCCTGTATAAAAATGTTTGCGGTGCTTTAACGAGATTTAGACCGCATACATAATGCATACAAAAGCAGACATCGTGTTTGCCATTCCGTAGTAAGATGCAAATCGTTCGATAAATTTGAATAACGGTTGCATAATTACATTTACATGTGATCACAAGTCGGGACTATTATCTATCGATGTATTTCCAATATAAATTTTCATTTATTCGAAGACCGTATTCACCTATTTAATTTGCATACGGTTACTATACATATATTTCAAACATTTATGTAATATAGATAATTTTTGAAACTTTTGATCCTTTCATTCGTTAGCCTCTGTCTATATTATCTATCGATGTATTTCCAATATAAATTTTCATTTATTCGAAGACCATATTCACCCATTTAATTTGCATACGGTTACTATATATATATTTCAAATATTTATATAATATATTCTTGTATAATTTTTGAAACTTTTGATCCTTTCATTCGTTAGCCTAGTACGTGCAACGATATATTTCAAGTGTGTGTATTATTGCATTATTTTTGCAACTTTTGAACCTTTTACTCGTTAGCCTCGTTAGATGAAATTGGAACACGAATTGACGAATCCAGCGCATTGTGAACCCAGTGACATTTACGTCTATAAAGTAATGCCCACGCTTACTAAAGAGTAACAGTTTAAACGACTACGGCTAACTGTGCTTATAGAAGGGTAACTAGATGCCAGTTAACTGTATGTAACGTCTATACTATATTTCTCGGTATATGACTGCGTCGACAACCCACTGTCACAGGTAATAGAGACAAGACAATGTAAATACGACTGCGGTTCGTTTGATCTCGGTATCCCTTTCTGTACCGCGATTTCGCTTTTCGACGACGAAAATAAACAGTTAAATATTCTCATACGAACATCCGTAGGCGACTTTGTACGCGAAATATACATTATATTTCGACGACACTGCATTATCAAATATTTAGTATATTACTGGAAGTATCTGTGAGAGTTGGTTTTGGTATGCGTGTGAGAAAAAGAGGTTAGAGTGTATCAAGTTAAAAAAGGCATGTGCGTGGCATGAATGTCTTAATATTCTAATCCATTACTAAATATATTAATCACAAAAAGTATCCAAATTTGTTCCACCTTCCCACAGTATCGACACCAGAAGAAGTTACTTAAATTTAAATTTACATCGTGGAAATTAACTTTGAGTCTTCCATTTAAAATAAATAAAAATTTCTTAATTCTTTCCCATTTAATTTATCAATGGTGACTGTAAGTTTTATTAAAAATAGTTTTCATCGCCAACTATATTTAATATTTCCAAGAACCAAGCGCGCTTTAGAACCACGTACCTTTCAAATTTATCGAACGCGGTCGTGTTCTCGAAATTGAATCATAGAGTACAAAATAGAAGATAGGACGACGCTTTTCTGTGAAAGCATTTGGCATCCTTATTCGGTGCCAAGTGTGCCAAGTTCAACGCCGTTAGTGAATACAGGGAATTCGTTTTCAGCAGTGATGGGCAAAACCCTAGGCTTCGAATAAATCTGAAGTGTGTCGATATGTTTGTCTCGTTTTCTGTTTTGAAAAATGTTCAAAACAGAAAACGAGAGAAACACATCGGCAAACTTCAGATTTATTCGAAGCCTAGGATTTTGCCCATCTCTGGTTTTCACGAATAAAATCGCGAAGCAACGAAATGGTAATAATCTAAGAAAAATAGATAAAAACATTCTAACATCTAAGAAAAATAACCAAGAAAATTTGTATTACAATAATTTGCAAAAAGAAAATCAATTTGCATCGGAATTTATTGGATGAATTAATCGTCTTAAAAGGATAGATTGTCTAGAAAATCGATTCAGAATCGAACCTAACCCCCACTCGAAAGCGTCATGGGTGACAGGAGAAACTGGGCAGGGGTGTTAGGGTGTAGGACGCAGACTCGTAGGAAGAGCATATTCGTTCTCTGACTGGAAATCTATATTTAAACGCACTTATTCCTGTTGAACATTTTCAAAACTAGATACGATGCTTGTGCCCCGATGCTGACACAACCGCTATTGTTAATCTCGGCGAATAGTCGATGCACGGACAGACCAGTTGGTGTTAGATCGATACTCGTGCCTGCGGTTCAATAACGCAAATGACTCTGAGTCATTTTCCTGATTCTTAGTTTCTACGAGACGATTAAAAGTGATGCGGACTCTTGAAATAAGTTCTCGAATGGACTCGAGACGAAACAGAATCGTAAATGCTATACTGAAATTGTTTCGATAGTCTTGGGCCGATCTCATGATTGGTTCGACAATTAAGATACTCGCTGATCTTTTCAAGTTGAACATCTAAAATAAAATATAAAATATTTTCCCGGCTTATTTCGGTATAAAAATATTTGCGCTGCTTTATCGACATCGAGGCCGATCGCACAACTATAGTTTCTATGCTCATGTTACGCGGCGCGTTCTTTTCGCATAAATTTAAAACGCTGTATTCGTGTTAGATCTGTTGTTGTTAAAAACAAAAGTAATTAATTCAAAAGACATTCTATCGGCTAACATCGTTTATTAACATTGCAAATTTTAATTATATTCTCATGTATGTAAATATATAAATAAATTGTAAATAAGTTAAGTGGAAGCTAAATTTAATTCCTATAAGGTTGTTCGTGAGGTGATTTGTAACAACTTTTTCCTTAGCCAAAGTGTTGTCCGAGGCTTCGTTGAGGAGATATTAACGTAAAACACTGACCAATCAAAGCGCTCGGATACTGTTGGAGCGCTAGCGGTAGCGTAGGCTACGTGCTAGGCGGCCGCGGTAGCGTAGGCTACGGCGCTAGACGGCCGCGCTCTGATTGGTCAGGGTTTTCTGTCAATATCTCCTTAACGAAGCCTCGGATAACATTTTCGCTAAGGGAAAAGTTGTTTCAAATCACCCCCTGAACCACTCCTTTCAATAACCTCCAACATTTTTGGACACCCTGTATTTTTATACCAAAATAAACGGGCAAAATGTTTCATATTTTATTTTAGATGTTCAACTTCAAAAGATCTAGTATATTATTTGTCGAACCGATCGTGAGATCGCGAATCGCGGAAATTTAGGACAGATAAGGATTAACACGAGATGTACGCACCACCCAGGTGCAATCGATTCAGCTGACCTCTCGAATTATGTTGCTATACGTCGGAAAACTGCGATGTTAATTAAACGAGATTCGACGTTTCGCGCGAAGGTTATCGCATTAATTAAGAGGGCGTTTTGTTTTTCTTCTATAAAAAGGCGTTTAATGCGATCGGGAGAGTAAAAGTTATCGAAAGAGTAAAAGTTTTCGTTGTTTGTTACACTAATTGTTAATTTATTATATGTAATATAAAATATGTAGACGATGGAAATGATAATAAAGAATCGCGAAATTGGAATGGTAAATGGTTTTCGGTAAGAATAAACTCTGTCGACTCATTTCATGATCCTCGTGAGAGAAGGATGTGAAAAAAGCTCGGATACCCAGATGCAATCGATTCAGCCACGTTAGAATTGTATTGTCGCTAGGCAGCAAAACAGCAAACGTAGGGAAAAATCCCTAAGTTCGCTCGTGCCCTGCGGGAATGGCTGCTCTACTTTCGTCACTTCTTTTTAATCAAAAGAATCTATCTAGTTTCTATATTTAAATTTTTCTAAAGAATCATCATGTTCCCCTTAGTTACGGAATTTTTAATTTGAAAGCAAATTTTACGAATGCATTACGAATAAAATATAAAAGCACATCTATAGAATGTGTTTGCTCAGTGACTCGTTTAAGTCACGAAAAAGGGAAGTACATATAACTCTCGACTTCATTGCACCAAGTGGTGAAATTTGTCCTTAAAACGTCATTATATTAAGTCCGTTAATTTATCCAATTATACTACAACTCCAGACAGTACACAGTATCTTGAAAACAAGTTCGCATTTTCAGATAAATTAGAGGTCACGGGGGTAACGCAGCCATGCAGAATAAAATTACCAGAAGCGTTAACGACAAAATATTTTCAGACCTTCTTCTCAATTTTTAGAAAATCTTCTCTTTGTCTTTCATGGGATTTCTCGAAAATAGGTCAGTTCAAATAATCCTAACTAACTGGTAAACAATGTTAACAATGTTAACATGTGCATTCGCGACGTTAAGCTACATTAAACGGATATTTCAAATTTCGTAATTTGTAGTTAGCAACTCGTCAAGTATTTCTGCAGCGAGCGTTAATTTTCGTAAACGTATGCACATTAGTATCGCTAATAAGTTTATTGAACCGAGTTACACGTATATACATTTTATACCGCGTGCATATACTTGTAACGGTCATAATATGTCCAGTATATTATATCCCCCTGCGAATAAAGCTACCCTTTCATCGACGTGCGAAGTGCAATCATTATTGATCAATAAAAACAGTGTAAACGTTACGTTTGTCTCGCAAGTTGATCGAGCTTTTCATAATTTTCGAATAAAACGATGTATTACTTAAACCGATAATTTCAGACAGCTTGATTTGCTATATTACCTGCAAAGTTTACGTAAAATAAAGTAGGGAAGATGAATACGATTTCCATCGCAGTTACAAATCTTGAAAGAAAGAAAGCTAATTGCGAGATGAATAAGATTTTCCTAGAATAATAAACGCCAATAAAACCAATAAAACGAAGGTCTAACGATTGACGTGTAATGTTTATACAACTCAACAGTGCCTTTTTTTTGTATGTGAAATGTTCATTGTGAAATATTTCACACTTTATCATTCAGCCTTCGATTCTTATTCTATAAGTAAAACAAAAAGTTGTTTATCTTTGCTTCGTGATTTGAATGTTCATTGAGATAAAAACGGTGCTTCGCTTTCGAATGCATCGTCATGAACTTACCCAAAATATGAGGTTGACGCAGACCAGTGCATACTTGACGAACCCATAACATTCCGAAAGCACCATTTTCGTTCGAATGGTATATGACACACAACACTTGGTTAGGTTACTACGGCGGCTTTATAAAAAAACACACGACTTTACGAGCCGACGGGAATCGTTTAAATTCGTTCGGACGCTGATGCACGGACAAGATAAGTTTTTCTTTAGCGTAGCAGATTAGTCAATTTTGTACTTGCACATTTACGAAGGAAAAACACAGATCCATTCCACGCGACGGTTTACAAGCTACTGTCATGGGAGACGAACTGCCGGCGTTGGTTTTTATCGCGAGTGCAGGGTACGAAGCAGTATGAAGAACAGACTGATACTCTCGTTTAAACCTCCTTGAAGCTGCAGCTTGTGACGTCATCCGACCATCCCCTATCTCTGTCATTAGTCCACTGTGGTCTTCCTTCTTTTTTCCCCTACTCTTTCGCTGTATCTCTCCTTCTCTCACCAACATGCTATGCTTTTCCCTCTCTTACGCACTCCCTTCCTATATTCTTCTCTATCTCTTTCTTGCGCAGGTCCAGGGCCGACTCTAGCCATAGGCCAAGCACCAAGTACTCGCAAGGCGCCAAACTTCTAAGACTTGTAATTAGATTTTTAGAAAAGGGGAGAGAAAGAGAATGAATGCATAATAAATTGTAATTCGCACCTCTGGTGGGAGTTAGATTAAGTTGAAAATGTACGGAAAGGTTATATGTTCATATTAATTTAGCAACACTTAGTAGTGTAATAAGGCATCTAATAAATACGAAATGCAAAAATGTCAAACTTCTAGGGCTCCACTTTCAATTTTTAGTATCAATTTCTTTTATCTTCTTACATTCAATATTTATAATATGTACGTTACACGAGAAGAATAAATAAATATTCGACAAATTATTGAACTCGAAATATATATGTACTCGTAGGAAGAAGGTAATACACATTTCTGAGGGTAATAATTCCTAGAGTAGGTTAAGCTACGTCTATCCTTTGCCATAATTATAAATAATTAGTGGAAACGCTGTATTTAGCGTCCTTGCAATGAACATGTTACATGCCCTCCTATGACTAGAATTAATTACATTTCATTTTTAATAAATCCCTCCGTTTTTAAATTCAAAGCCAGAAACCTTATACAAATATAGTGCAATTATTAACAATTAAGTACATATTGGTTTGTCCGGAAAGTTCATGCCTATTTTTAAGAAAAATTCAAAGGCATATTTGAATTTTGATGTATATTTATTGAATTATATGTGTACCATTTTGTTTCACGACCTTTCCACCTGTTAACGAATGTACACATTTTATTTGTTTTCAGACATTCCGATATATTCAGACCTGTACCGCCTACTAAAAATCGGCATGGACTTTCCAGACAGCACAATATAATTTAATATTAACGGTAAGTTTATTATCGCGGACATTCTTAAAAATGTATTCTAGTAGTATTACATTACGATATTATATATATTAATGCTTAATATATTCTATCCAAGCCTTCCACTTCATTCTTTTTGTCGACATCTCCATTTATAGTTATCGTGTTTATTCTTAACATCGTCCGATGTATTCTGAAAACTGGGAAACAGACAAATGTTAAACAGAAAGTTTATCAAATGTTTCGTGACAAACACGATACACATCATATCTTACAGTTTATTCTACGAAACTGCTTTCTTGGTCTAAATCTAAAACGAGTTATTGTGTGAGACAATGTTTTCTGAATTACAGTTGCATCCACCGATACTAACTCTCTGTTTAGAATTGGCGTTCCTATCAATGTAAAGTCTGTACTACCAACAAGCAATACTTTCTCTAACTTTAATTTATCCCCTGGTTTAGGTACCCAGTGCCCGTTAACAATTATAATATCGTTCTCTGTAATTTTAAATTGTACTCCACATAAATGTATAACTGCAAATAAACGACCAGTTGACTGAGTAGTTATTTGTTTGTTAATTTCATCTATTACAACTGAAAGTAAGAAAAACTGTTAGAGTTACATAGACATGGGAGATATGTAGCGATGTAATGTATAAGGTAAATAATTCAAAGTATATGTATGGAAGTAATCACCAGCAGCTTCTTTCTCTTTTGCTTCATCATCTTCAGGTATTATATCTTCGAGCCTTGTGGGCTTAGGAAACCAACGTAAATTGTATTTTCGGTAATGAGCTACTGACATATCCCATAATCTTAGAGCTATAACAAAAACATATATTTCTATTTGCTTCTATGCATCCTAAATAAGATATTGTAATATGCTATCTCTAAATATATTTTTTATTCCATCATGTTATTACATGGCTATAATATTACATTGATACTGATAATGATAACAAGTTACTTTATAAATTGTATAATTATGAAAAAAATTGTTTTGATACATGCTAAGACTTTACTTATCTAAATATTATTACATTTGGTTACGTTTGTAATTGTACGAATCTAAAAGTGAGGTTATATAACCTCAAATTTAGACGAGTGCGTGATCATATTCTTTATTATTTTAAAATAAATAAATTACATACCTGGATAGTATTGTTTATATACAGAGGCTGGAGAAATTCTTCTGACACATGTACTCGTGGCGAAATTAAATAACCTCGTGAAACGGGTCAAAGTCGCCATGATTTATAGATCAAAATTGGTTGTGTACTTTAAAAACAACGCGATTATAAGTCGCCGAAACGAAAAATTTGTAAGATGTCGGATGAAACGGTAGATAAATTTTGAAAAAGGATAAAAATGATTTATTTTGTTATGTTAAAGCTTCCTTCTTCCTCAGAGGTGTAAAAGGAAGAGTAATTAGGGAAATTTAAGGGTTGAAATTTGAAACAGCAGTTCTTCATATGATAGGTAAACATGTGTAAATATGTGGGGAAAAGTACATGGTCATTTAAACAAACTAAGGTTATCGAAATAATCTTTATTATGTGCGATTTAACTTGACGAATTATCGTTACAAAAGTATTGGTCTCGATACAATTTGAAAATGGTAGTTCTTTTGTGAATGTTCAGGCAGAGCCAACCATCTCTACCCATCACTAATTTTATTTTACTATTCCACTCTGAACAGTAGTATGCTTTCGATCAAAGTTTGACTTCAATTTTTTGATTTTCTCGATATTTTGAGCTGCTCTAGATCTATATTTCTTAAAAAATTGCTGCATTTTGCTTTAAATCTCACGAGTATATTAAAAACTCGTTAAACGTGCTATGATAGCTCCTAGAAAGGGGGTCTGATTTAAAAAAATATGTACAAGGTGTCCAAAAAATGTTGGAGGTTCATGAAAAGGGTGGTTCGGGAGGTGATTTGAAACAACTTTTTTCTTAACGAAAATGTTGCCGAGTCTTCGTTAACAGAAAACCTCGACCAATCAAAGCGCGCGGATACTGTTAGAGCGCTAGCGGTAGTGTAGTGTAGACTACACGCTCTGATTGGTCGGGGTTTTCCGTTAATATCTTCTCAACAAAACCCCGCACAACATTTTCGCTAAGAAAAAAGTTGTTTCAAATCACCTCCCGAACCACCTCTTTCAATCAGAGATGGGCAAAACCCTAGACTTCGAATAAATCTGAAGTTTGCCGATATGTTTGCCTCGTTTTCTTCTTTGGAAAATTTTCAAAAGAGGAAACGAGACAAATATATCAGCAAACTTCAGATTTATTCGAAGCCTAGGGTTTTGCACATCACTACTTTCAATGACCTTGTTACGCTATCACGTGAACTTAGCTTCATGGCATGTAGCGCCACAACGCGGAATAGCTTAAACACTACCGCATGTAGTATATATTTATATTCAAATTAGGAGCGGAATTCAAATGGATTAACGTATTGAATCAACGAACCGCCACGTACATTGTTAAAACATTCAACGTGGGTGATCAAGCGTAGGAAAGTCGAAAGCCAGGAGAGAAAAGGGAACGTTCGCTGAAAATACTTAATAGATTCATTATAGGCCGTGTCGAATCGCCGTTTCCGTTGGAATGCATTTCTTTAGAATTCGAGTCGAGTTAGCTTTTGTTCCAGCTCGTAAGATCCTTGAAAATAACAAACTCGCACTGTACCTCGGTTCGCGTTTCCGGCGACTTCTTCAAGAAGGTAATCAATTTCCTTAAGGGTTCCTGTGTCTGCACAAACATGGCCGCGCGACTCCCACCTCCACCCGACTCGGGAGTGGATCCGAGATCGATGAAGATCACCGATAGAAGGAGTAGGGCGCAACCCTCGATTGGACCAGGACAACCTGAAGGGAGGATCGGGAATCTTCCGGAGAAGGGAGAGAAGCAGCAGATCGAGGAAAGATTTTTCCAGAGAGTTCAATCGTAATCGAACCTCTGGTAATGAACTACGAAACGATTTAAACGAAACGAATCGACTGAACATCGACGTCTTTACTTTTTTCCTAAAAGTATTTCGAATTTTATTTTACGCGCCTCTCTGGGCAGAGCGGTTCAGCTCTCCACGGGCACCTTACCCACGTCAGCAAATTCCCTATCACCGCACGACGCGTTCCGCAACAACCTCTAACATTTCTGGGACACCCTGTATAGCACAATTTACTACAATTTCATTGAGTAAGATTGGCAATACTGATGCGAAGAGATGTCGTACGTGTTCACGAACAGTTACTTGTTATGTTTAGTCGTTGTGTTGTGAGGAATCGATGATCGTTGAATTATCGTGAATCGTTCCTGGTGTTCTTAGTATCCCGGCAGCATTGAATTATGCACTTTTATAAAGAGAAGCTCCTGTCGCCCGGACAACTTAAACGCCTTAGTGAGCACAAATACAGCTGCACAACCAACAGTCTTTTGGATGGACTTCTTCAACCCTGGTGGAACTGGCTAGTTAGCAAAGTTCCACTTTGGCTTGCGCCCAATTTAATCACGGTCTTGGGGCTTGTCGTCAACATCCTCACGACTTTAATTCTTGTTTATTATAGCCCCGATGCTAGGATCGAGGTATCATTTACATAACCTCTTTTTATGTCGCATTTCTTTGCCTCTGACAGACTAAAAAAACGTGTCTTTAAGTAATCTAATATTTTTGTTTATTGCGAAATCACCGTGTAAATGATTAGCTCGAGGTATTTTCTTATAGACAAAAGGAAGGCAGTTATCGAAACAACTAAGTCTGTGTACGAGACAAATATTTCGAATTTATTTCTGAAAATAAATAAGCAATGTTAGGCTTATATATTTGCCAAATTTGTTTTAATCGAACTATATTTAAATACAAGTAACATTGTCCAACGTTTCAGGCACCAAGATGGGCGTGTTTTCTATGCGCGCTAGGTTTGTTCATTTATCAGAGTTTGGATGCGATAGATGGTAAACAAGCTAGACGAACAGGAACTTCTACACCATTAGGGGAATTGTTCGATCATGGATGCGATTCCATATCGACAGGTGTGTTATACTGCCGATATATCTTCCAATATTTTCAATCTTTAGCCCTGTGAAACATTGAAACAATATAATTGTATACTTTTAGTATTTGTTGCCCTATCAGCATGTATAGCAGTACAGTTAGGATATTATCCAACATGGATGTTTTTCCAATGTTTCTGCGCTATGACACTTTTTTATTGTGCTCATTGGCAGACTTACGTTTCAGGTGAGAAATTGTATTTGTCTATAGAAATTTGTCATGATATTTCCAATAAACGTTTTCATCTTAAAATGCATATATTTCTATACAGGAACATTAAGGTTTGGCAAGGTGGACGTTACAGAAGCACAGTTTACCATTATAACCATTCACCTGATTTCTGCAATCTTTGGACCTAAAGCATGGATGATGGAGGTTGTATTCTTTTCAATAATAGCTTGTTATTTTCATTTATATAATTCTAAATTGATATCTGTTGGCAAGTACTAAGTTCTTGATATCAAACTAATATTTATATGACTAAATACTTTATATATACATGAACAGTAAGTGATTAAGCTCAGTACTTGCATAAAACCTATTTATTATTATAAAATAGTTAATACATTTTTTTCAGTTCCCAAAGCACATCAAAACTTTTTAATATAAGAAATTCATTAGTTAATAGATAGTTGTTTTAAATGCACAGTAGTAAAATTTAATTAAATTTTGCAAAAGTGCTTAATTTGTACCATAATTACACATAATGTTCAGTTCATCATAATTTTTCATTTGTTCCTTCACCTCATTCTTCTTCTATCTACTTTTTTTTTGTTATGATTACCACCTTCTAGTATTTTCATATTTAAGTAGATTAATTTCATATACATATACTTCATATGTCATATTTATTCATGTTTTATTCCTTTATTTCACTTTAATACAAAACAAATAAAAGAGATAAATACGAGAGTAATTTGTAATAAAAGAAGTTCACGAACTGAAATGTCAGAAATGCGATTGAAACTTTCGGTTTTTTATAATACGAAATTTAAAAAAAAATTGTGTAGAATCTAGTTTTGTATGATACATTTTACATTTTCTATCTCAAGGCTCATAAAGTTTAACAAAATTTGAGAATATTTTTGCATGAGTCTAATGAGATTATTTCTTACAGATACCATACATAGATGGTTTTATGTTTAAGTATTTAATAGGAGTTATGACAGTGATTTGTTCACTGGCAAACTTATATTCCATCTTTTCGGTGATTTTCACCGGAGGAGTGGGCAAGAATGGTTCAACTGTGGCTGTAAGTTAGTCAATTAGACTTATGTTTTGGAGATATGGAAATGGGAGCAGCATGGCATGAGGAGCGTCGCTGAAATTACTTTTTTGCTATGAAACTTATTATCTTAACATGCATTTTATTTCCAGACTTCTTACTCATTTATTCCCTTTCATCCATTTCTTTCTTATTTTTCCTGCATCTCATCATCTCCATGGCAAATGCATTATTTGCATTTGTGTATACAGTTTTCAGTCATCGAGTTGATTTCATTTCAAGGATATTTATTGGATAGTATAATAGTTGAAGGTGATATTTAGAACATATGCTTTATGATGAAAAGTTGTATACATAAATTCAGTTCATAATAACACTTTCACTTTTGAATACCTTCCGTATGATATGCTTTTGAAACAATTTCTACAGAAAAGTGGTATATTTCACACAACTATTTTTTAAGAATTTAATATAAAGCAGTGAGAAAACAATTCAATATAAAATTTACACTTTGCATCACAATCATGACTCATTTATTTAGAATCTAACTTTTCATTTTTATTATAAATTCAGTTACTATAATAAAAATTCCATTAATATTAAAAATAAAAGTAGAAAAATGACCAAAAATCTGTGTTCTATCTGATTATTGTAATCTGCAGCGTCCCTCGTGCCGAATGTTTTATTTTTATATTATTTCTATATGAAAGTATAGGCCACAAATGAATCTAGCCATTCAAAAAACTGTAATGTATGATATAAAATTAAAAAAGATATGTAAGATGAAAATGTAGAACAATACATTTATCGACTTAAGCAACGAAATAATTTTTATATAATTTTCATAACGAGCGAGATTTTATACATTTGTTTAGATACCAGTGCTCGGTGTAGGCACAGTCAATAACTACGTAGCAGTGATATTTTATGCAGGCTACGTTCATGTATTCCTTGAATTCTGTAAAGTGTTTGAATCCGGTGGGATTGGAAAGAACGGTTCCACAATTGCAGTAAGTTGTACAAATAAAAACTGACCAATTGATAATTGCATACATACAGATTCTCATATTTTTACCACTATAGCGTAGTCACAAAGTCTTTCTCTTTCATTCTGCTTGCCTATCTAGATTGTTGGGTTACTATTATTATTATCAATGTTCAGAATAGTTTTTGCATTACTAAATTTCTGTCTTACTTCTATGTATATTAATTTATTATAATAAATATTGTCGTATGGTGTGCAGGCAATACAGAAATTTGGCTTACATTGCAATATTAAAAATGGAAGTGCTATTTTCTCTATGTACACTTATCCTCTCCTGTTTCTATCTATGCTTAATACTTCTTTCAAGTTTTCGGCATTTATTATAATAATCTATTTATTTTAAGTTGTCGAACAATAATTTTTAAGAGATCTCATGGCTGCTGCAATGATGTAAATTTTATAGGTTCAATAACTTGTGCGATTAAAGGTGGAACTTTTAAATTAGGGTATATATAAAATATTAATGTATAATTCATCGGATCATACTCTAAGTTAAAGTTTCTAAATTTTGTAAATACTGTTCTTCTTATTGCTTGAAGGTCTGTTGGATTTGAAATTATGAAGGTTCTAACGGAGCTTTCTTAATTCGTTGTAAATTAATGTGAGCAATCTAACAAGCATTTCGAGAATCTGAAATTGTTTCAAGAGCAAGAGGTTTTCATCAGCGCGCAATGATATATTGTACCAGGAATCAATGGTAGAAATATATTGTAAATTAACTAATGGAAAGGTCTTTCGTGTCGCTTGCACAGTTGCCATATACTGGCACAGAGATCAAGGTGTTTCCGTTATGGGCTGCTGTGGGCATCGCTATTTTACTTGCACAGAGCAGCATATCCGTCATTCTTGCCGGTGGTGTCGGAAAAAATGGCTCCACCGTCGCAGTAAGTCAGTTCAGAAGTCATAACATCATTGTGTAGTGAAACTTTACATTTTATTATTATTTAGGCCCACTTTCAATGAACAAATATTTTTGTTTACCGTTTTTTTAAAATATGGAAAACCCAAATATAAGATAAATAAATGTAAAGAAATATAGAAATTAATTTTTTTTTAAATCAAACTTTTTAAAAGGTACGTCACTGGTGCAAAAGAAAAATTTGTTATACTCAAGACGTTCAAACAAAAGATGTTTCTAGGTGTTTTAATTAATTCAAGATTAATTTGTTTTTATTCATTTTCGTTACATTACTATCAAAATATATGAAGTTTTTAATTTAATGTATGGAAAAATACTCATGTGGGTCTAAATTCTGCGAAAGCATCACACAGAACTGTTTACTGTATCTTAATTTCCACTTTGATTAACACCTTTTCCTGTTTATCTATGAATCTATCTATACCGATACATCATACATGTTTTCCTTCATTTGATATTTCCACCTATTTTCCTCCTATTAAATAACAGCTTCAATTATATGCATGCATGTAGATACATAGGAGTAAGAATGATAGGATACTAGTTACTACATCCTTTCTTAACCAATTTTCTACTAATTTTATATTCTCACATATATTGTATGCGTTGATGCTTAGAATTTATTTATAGTAGTTGGTCACAGAAAGTAAATAATTTTGTTTCTTGAATATATTTATTTTTTATTCTAATATTAATTAACATTTCTGCATAGTAAATAATTGGTCTTTGCTTATGAATGCATAATGCATAGTCGTTTGATAATAATGACAGTTGTAATATTTCAATAAAAAGTAAACAAAAGTTATTTGAATCACACCATAAATTATAATCTTTAATAGAAAGTTATTTTTTCTTTTTTTTTTTTTTAACTTTTTTTGTATGAATTGCACGAGTTTATATAATATATATAGAAACTATTACCATCATATTATGCCATCCTGGAAGCCTTAAAATTTTTATAAGCAACACTTCTTACTAATACTTACCATAATATGTGTTATTAAGATGGATTGTTTGTAGTGTGATACTCTGTATACTGTATAAATGAAACACTTTGAAAACTGTGTTAGATACAAAGTTTAAGCTAATACATTTGCTGCTTATGTAATTAGAAATTTATTCCTTCTTGACTTAAGTAATCTTTTCATTACCTACTATTAAATCTTAAATGTTGACGTCTATAGAAAAAATTGCATAGCTTATAATAATTATCTCTCAAGTACTCTTTAATAAACCACTTTTCTTCTGAGTCCAACGATCACAGATTTCATCATAATGTTTATTCCATTTCAGGGAACATCAGTTTTATCTCCAATTATTCCATTTAGTTTTGTGGTAGTGCCAGCTTTTATAATTTATAGAAAAAGTGCTGAGCACGTATATGAAAATCATCCTGCATTGTACATACTTGCATTTGGAATGGTTGCAGCTAAAGTTACCAATCGATTAGTGGTAGGTATATCGATGGCCATTTATTATTCTATTTAAATTTCACGATTCGGTATTTTATGATGTAATTATTTGTTATTGCAGGTTGCACATATGACAAAAAATGAAATGCAGTATTTAGACAGTTCGCTGATTGGACCAGCAATGCTGTTCCTGAATCAGTATTTCAATTTCTTTATCAAAGAATATTATGTTCTTTGGTTGTGCTTTGTAAGTTTTATGCTCTCTGTATGAATATTATCGACATTCTTTTTTAGTATCTAATTATTTAAAAATAGCGTAATTTTGAATGTCACGTAGTTTTACACGCTCCTATTTTGTCCACATTTCTAGATTTGGGTTACTCTGGATTTACTCCGGTATAGTTCTCAAATTTGCCTTGAGATCTGCGATCACATGAAGATCAGACTATTTAGGATACCGATAGGAGATCATCGAACAACCCAGGTTTCTAACACAGCTGAAAAAAATGGTACTAACAGGTCCCAACGTAACAGATTGCAAAAGAAACATCACTAAGATTTATTTGTGATAATGAATGTACTATACGATTCATTTTATCTATAAATGAAAGAGTTACAATGTAAGAAGACATAGATATTTGATAAGTTCCGTTACTACAACTGTATATAAAAATTTGAATGGTACAGTTCATTTGTTATCACATTAATTTATGATTACTCCGTATCTGATTAGCATTGAATATAAATAAAAAGTCTCACCAATATGTTGGTTAAAAATATTATTCACTGCTTGTCGTCGATTACGATTATTCCGGTGATAGAAATGGAAAATTTATCAGGAATCTAGTGATCAAAATTATAGTTAAACGAATAGAACGATAAAGTACGCAGAACAATAGACCTCACAATGAAAGAAATGATACATAAGTATTATTCGAGAATTTGAAGAAAAAAGATATGACATAAATGTTAAGTAACTTTATATCCCATTGTTATAACTTTTATAATAATTTAATTAAATCATTGAATGTGAATGAATTACTTAATTTTTATTTTGTTAATAATTATAGTTCAATGATATTATATTAGAAATTCGACATACATTTCTTTGTGACTTTTGAACTACAAAGAAAATTTCACACGATGAAAAGCTCTATAGAAGATTAAGTTTTGCATATTATCTTGAAAAGAAATTAAATTGCCAGTACTTCTGTAGTTATTTATCAGTTAGTATACTATATTCGTGATCTCATAATATAACAATCTATTAACAATATGAAATTTAGACAAAAAATTATTTTTTTTTTCAGATCTGTAGCTCTTAACTGACATGTATATAGATTCATAATACAGATATTCCAATATTTACATAGTCAATTATAACAAAAAACTACTTATAAAAATATTACCAAAGATAATTGCTTCGAGCTAAAGTGATCCTAATCTAGAATGTCTAAACCTTTTTATAAAAAGGTCTTAAAATGTCTGTTACCTTTTTTTTTCAACAAAATTTCGATTTAGGTTTAATGAAGATTTGTAAGGAATTGAGGTTTCTAAAAGAATATTCTTTTTGTATGAAGTTTTAATTGATAACAACTGAGAAATTATAAACAAAAAAATGTTTAGTATAGGAGGAAAATCGTACTATTTTCATTTTTTAATAATTTTAGTTCAACTCAGTTGTGGCCTTAACATGCGCTTATGATTGCAATCACATGAAATGCGTTTTCAAATCAGGAATCTCATTTTTATGTGAAAAGAATTAAATTTTTATTTATTGTAATCGATGGTTTTTCACGCCAGATTGGTCAGAAAACGCATGTCATTGTAAAATTTGTTTGCAATTGTTTACAAGTACTATAGATTCTATAGTTTCATAGGGAAAAACTATATAGCTTCGAAAGTATAATACGCTTATACAGAAACAATTCAATCAAAAGCTGCATACAAATTTAAATCGCGGTGTTAGAGTCAAAAATTATTTCAAGCGAGTAATAACATTACTCGCTAGAATTAACGATACAGGTTGTCGATAAATTGTATCGTAATAATGTACATTTATTTCAAGCAAAGCTTTTTCATGGACAAAATTTTGTTTGAAACGTATTGGATGTGAAAAAGATCGCGCGTAGAAAATTTAAATTTGAATAAGAGAGAAACAGAATAATATTCGCTAAGTACTTTATAAATTTGAATTATCTCGTAGAATTATATTACTTCATTGTAGAAGATTCTATTAGACATACACTATTCCAGTTGTATGGCTCTTATTTAAGGAAGCCTTGAATTTTTACGAAACAGTTAAGATATCAGAATGACAATATTTCTAAGAAACTTTTCTGCAATATTGCCAGAAAATAAATATGTATCTAATATACTAATGTATCGTACCTTGGTTTCTGTTCGTAAACTGTAATATACTTTTTCGATAAACAATTTTCCTATCACGTGCTATCTTTCATTTACACGTTTTCGTTAGAAAAGTTTGTAACGATGAGAATCTTTGGAATTACTTTCTCCTTTTCCTTTCTTCAGATTTAATCCATGTTAATCCTTTCAAGATGATTGCAAAGGTGATTCTCCAAGACAAGCTCTGTATTTTGCTTTCTAATGTACTTCTATAAGTTTTCGAACATTTAATTTGCATGTTGCATTATCGTTTAAGTGTTTATAACTTTCCTGCCATAACGAATTGTTTATTAAAGAACTGATATCGTTTAGGTATGTTTCACATTAAATTATTTTAGATTCAGCATGTTCGGAAGAGTTTTATGGATAGCTTCTTCAATTCTCATACTATATTGTTATGTGTCACTGGATATAATTTAATTAATATTATAGGAACGACATATTTTCATAACATAAAATTGATACTTTTATATATTGTCCTGCATATTGGTTCAACTTTATAAACCTAATTGTGTGTGTGTAACATTAAATTAAAATTTAGGTAAATAGAAATCAATGTATCCCAAACTAGGGTCTCTAAGAGACTGAGAGAGGTCACTTATCATGTAGAAGGCTTGCGTGTATTATATAGAAACTCTTTTCTGTGCTATAAGTAATAGTTTTGGTGTCACAAATTGGAATAGTTAGTTTACCCTGTGGTAGGGTTTGATCTCTATAACATATGACACAAAATTTACAGTTGTATAATATGCAAGGTGTGTGGTAAGCAGCTGAATGATTTCAAAAACTTTGTTAAATGTAATTTCATCATAACCATAGAGTTTTCAGTGAATTATATAGCGTGTTCAATGTCTTACTAATAAATTTCTTATTATTTCTAACATGATTGGTATGAAGTAAAACATTTGCGATTTTTCTGCTTGATCTTGCGCCATTAATTGTTGCGTATTTATCGAATGATAATAGAAAGTCAATGATAATAGGAAGTGCCTTCTTTTATTCGTGTACACAGAAATTATGAGGTATGTAATACTGTCAGTAGAGGAACACTAACAGCATGTGAAAATTATGTTTGCATGTCCTCTGCCTGTTGCTTGGCTCAAACGTTTTATCGAACGCGTTCAGGATGTTGTACATCAAGATTATTTTGTACTTTTGTTAAATAAGGAAGAGAACTTTTGAACATGGCCGTGGATTAATAATAAAGGAATAATTTAATTGGCGTCTGTATCTTTTCCTCGATACATTTGATTATGTAATATGACCTCTTAATCTGAGTTTCGACTGTACTGTAGGAATAAAATTGAAGAAGGAGAACTTAAAATTCTACTCGGAAGATTTGAAGTGGAATCGGTAGAATCGAATCATGCTATGTTAGAATTAAATGGTGGCTGATCCTTGATTAATGTTACTGTTGTAATGAGTAGTCTGTTACAAAAATGGGCGTAGTTATCTAATGTTTCATAGTATTATAATGTGGTACAATATAGTATAACAATGTTACTTGCGTATGTGCGAATAATGCTTTAATGTTCGACGAGCAAAATGGGTATTTGTGAAACTTGTAGTTTTTAGAGTTTTATGTGATTTTTATTGTGACTTTAAGTAAGACTTTGAACATTTTTAATTAATGTTATACACTCGGTACGGTGTACTAGAGAAATTCTTTTGTAATACAAAGTATGTCGAGGTATAAAATTAAATGTTATAACAATAACAAGGTATTCGCACATGCCCAATGTGTATGTTCTTATTCGTTGGTATGCATGAATAGTTTTGTTTACAGTTCGCATGATGGTGGAACAAGAACCTCTGTTAGACGAGGATTATCATCACGGATCTGATACCACCCTCGACCTATGATGGATACAAAAGTATACATCAGCGAAAAATAATTATCTGAAGTTACAGGGTTGCGCAAAGATCTCTGCATTTACAAATGTTTACTTTTACATCTGTTTTCCTCAATTTACAAGAAGTAGAAAGAGTGAATTATCAGAAACAGAATATTGTATTTCAACTTCTTTAAACTTTTATTGAATCATATATTGAATGATAGTAACATATATTTTGAAGATTTACTTCAAAGAGAATTTTGCGTTACCCTGTGTATCATAGACTTTAGTTCTATTGATAACAGTGATAGATACGAGACTGTCCAATGGTTTTCGAATGAGAGAGGTAAAACAGTGTACATCATAGAATATTAGAGTGAGAACTGCGAAGTACAACTACGGTATCGCCGTTTGTAAGACGAAAAATAATAATTATTCTTATGTAGCCTTGAAAATCGTGAATTATACAATTTCGTAATCGATAGTATCTGGATTAGCAAACCTTTATAAAACAACAGATAGAATGCAATTGTTCAGAGCGTATATACAGATGCACTTCGACGATTATGTAAGATACAAATAAAACGATCAATTATTTTTCCACGTGCAATTTCAAATAAAAACTTTTCGCTTTAACTCGGTACAAATTTTAGTATAACAGAATACGTATGAATTTCTCTCAGTTAGAATTGCACAATGGTCATAAAATTTTTATCATGAGTATGCAATATCGAGTTTTGGTCATAGACTGAATGAAAATCTAATTACTTTATAGCAGAACTGTGAATTCTTAATTACAATTACAAAACGATTACTTAACCAAGTAATTGAATAATTGCCATTACAATTACTCTGTTGCATGTAATGGTATTTCCAATTACTTAATTACTATCAGTGATCTTATGCATTACTTAATAATTACTTATAACGGCCCAGAAAGTAATTAAAAGGCGTCTCAAATCTAAAGTAGTCAAAAATACCTAAAAGTAATTAAAAAGTAATTATAACAACTTTTTTAATTACTTTCAAGTAATTGCAGTGATATGGACAGTAATTGTTAAAAGTAATGACTGTATTTCTGAATTGACTTTCTGAAGAAATTACTGTATTTCAATTATTTGTAATTACTTTGAATTACCTTTGCTCAAATCTAAAGTAGTTAAGTATACCTAAAAGTAATTAAAAGTAATTAGAAGTCAGTAATCATTACTTTTAACAATTACTGTCCATGTAACTGCAATTACTTGAAAGTAATTAAAAAAGTAATTATAATTACTTTTAGGTATACTTAACTACTTTAGGTTTGATTAGGCTTTTAATTACTATCTGGACAGTTATAAGTAATTATTAAAAAGTAATTGAATTACTCAGTAATTAAGAATAAGGTATTGCATAATTACTAAAAAAAAAGTAATCAACAATTACTTAAATAATTACTTTCTACTTCCAAAGTAATTGTTCCAAATTGTAATAAATTACAAAATAATCATTACTTTACAGCTCTGGTTTATAGTTATATCAAAGATGTTAAAGAGATAGTAATAGTTTTGTATTAATATTTATTGTATCAAACTTGTAACAATACGGTGATAATAATATTTTACTTAACGCTCGCGTACGAGTGCCTACATTTTTATCTACAAAACGATTTATATTTTGATAAACCTGTAAGATTCTAAATTTCAATTTCGATGGTAATTTTAAGTCGAGAACACAGTATTATTGTGTTGTATCCTGAAAAAAACCGACTAAAGACAGTTTATTCTGTAAGAACATAGCTCATGTTTCACCGAACATTGTAAAAGAAAATAAAAGAAAAATGTAAAGATCGACGATCTCGAATAATCGCGAATTCAATCGAGAAACACACTCACTAGACGTATCATCGTTCTAACGGCGACAGAATGTAATTTATGTGATAAAATAAAAAATTCTAATTGCTACCGAGATACTCGTCTAATCTCGTTTTATTAATATCGAGCAGCCCTATGCTCGTTCGGAGTGGTTTCTCGCGTTCGAAAGTGGAACAAATTCGAATAACGATTAAAAACTTTAGCGCCCTTCGCGCGGCGGGAGGGGGGGGGGTGAGGGACAGGGAGGGAGGGGGAACTGGGTCAGCAGTAATCACTATTTCCCGGGAATTCGGTCGGCCATAATACTTCGGGGCAATTTAGCGATGCGATTAAAATTTTTACACGCTCGTCTCTTTTTCTATTTATTCGAATAATAATGGAAAAGTATAGTTGAGGGAGAAATTGTAAATTTGTGTTTCGAAAGGGGGTCCAAGTCGATACCTCGTGTACATGTATGTATGTATGTATAGTAGTTAATATTGATTTACTGAACGACGTGTGCACCGTTTAATTTTCAGATATGCATTTTTTGCAAACACGAGGATGAAAACAGGGGATAAAAAAAGGTCGCGTGACGAGAAAGTTCGCGATCAAAGGGAAAAGATTGCGTAAACAGCTTTTTGCCCCTCAGTTTTTGCCGAGTCTGGAGACCTCGAAAATTCGTGACCGAGCCACGTTCACCTCCTACCCTTGCCCGTTCATTCGACCTGGGACACCCTTTGAGATACTTGGCCGTCCCCGATATACCACCTCCAGGGACGTAGTTACCTACTGGTACCTATCCTTTTGTGTCCTAACATTGAATTTGTTCAAATTTTCTGCTACTCGATGTTCGAGGGTGTTCTAACTTTTAATGTTCGATGAGCGAAATGGGTATTTGTAAAACTTGTAGTTTTTAGAGTTTTATGTGATTTTTGTGTGTTACGTATTGTAGAAGATATTTCCATAATTACTATAGTATTTTTATCTACAAGTATATATAATTATATATAATATACTGTATAATATAATATAATAATATATAATATACTATATAATATAATGTAATAATATATAATATATTATATTGATTTACTGAACGACGTGGGCACCGTTTAATTTTCAGATATGCATTTTTTTGCAAACACGAGGATGAAAATATGTTATAATATATATAATATAATTATATAAACTTATATATAATTTATTATAGTCGAGTTTTATGTAATTGTTATGTGTTTTGGAAATTGATCAAGTGTTCTAGCTTAATTTAGAATATTCCAGCATAGAAAGTTGACTCGAAGTGATTCTCGATTTTTCAAAAATTAATTTTGTTTGTGAACTATTTTGATTTGCAGAAGGGCTCGTTTTGATTTCACGAGGTTTCGACGCCTTTGTTAGAAAAAATGTATCTTTCCAAAAACTTCAAATACTAAGATAATATACATTTTTCAATCTTAGATTTTTCCTTAAATTTTTATTCAATTTTTCCATTAATTGAAATTGTCATTTGATCGAAGTGTAGAATTGTTCGTTCTAATTCGATATACAGGGTGTCCCAAAAATGTTGGAACTCCTTGAAAGGGGTGGTTCGAGAGGTGATTTGAAACAACTTTTTCCTTAGCGAAAATGTTGTCCGAGGCTTTGTTGAGGAGATATTAACGGAAAACACTGACCAATCAGAGCGCACGTATACCATTGGAGCGGTCGCGGTAGGCGTGGCTACGCGCTAGGCGGTCGCGCTCATACGCTACCGCAGCCGCTCCACCGGCATATTCTCGCTCTGATTGGTCAGTGTTTTCCGTTAATATCAGCTCAACGAAGCCTCGGACAATATTTTCGCTAAGGAAAAAGTTGTTTCAAATCACCTCCCGAATCACCCCTTTCAAGGTGTTACAACATTTTTGGGACACCCTTTATATTTTTCAATCTTAGATCTTTCCTTAAGGGTGCGCAGGAGTCAGAGCCAAACTCCGAGTTGACTTCAGTGACAGTTGCGGAAAGAAGTTGGAAACTCCGGGACAAGGACAGAGAGGGCGATACAACATACAGTCCTGATTTTGCCATTTTGGCCTTAAAACTTTATAAACAATAAAATGAAGATAGCAAACGTACTTTTATTGTTCATAAAGTTTTAAGGCCGAAATTGCAAAATCAGCCTTGGAGTCGCATCCGCCAAAGTGTAACGAATATATTAAAACCAGAATTATTAGAAAATATTGCTTCTTTGCTTCAATATCCTGGAAAAAAATCATGCTAGCCTAATCGCTCTGTCCTCGTCTCTCCTGCAATTGTTGTATCGTCCTCTCTGTCCTTGTCCCGGAGTTTTCTACTTTTTCCGCAACTATCGCTGGAGTCAACTCGAAGTTTGGCTCTGGCTCCTGCTCATCCTTAAATTTTCATTCAATTTTTCCATTAATTGAAATTTCCATTTAATCGAACTGTAGAATTGTTCGTTCTAATTCAATATAGTTTCAAGTTCTTTCACAAGTGTCTAGCAATAAGTCGTATCAACGACAGAATTATTTACTACTTACTTATGAATAGACTGCGGATCGTTATGCATTTATAGGAAATTTGAATGTACAAGAAACTACAAAATGCAAACAAAATGCAAGAATATAAAAAAAGATTAAAAGTAAAGTTCATGTTACGATATTTCCAGAATAAAATAAATTCCCATTTAGATTTCATTTTGCATAATGATCCGCAGTCTACTTATGAACTTATTTAAATTTTCTTGCATTTGCTCGACACATTTTTCCCACGAGTCTAGTAGAATTTTTTTATTCAAAATATAAATTAATTATAGACGTAGTAGTATTTATAGTACTAAGCGCCGCTTTGCTTAGAATAGTGGAATAGACCATTGATGAGTAACATATAATACGCTAGCGTACGCATGCGTAGAACAGGGGATAGTAGAAAACTCGCGATCGCGAATCAGTCAGCGGCTGAGAGCGGCGAAGAATAGTCTTCGTTTCTGAATGATTGTTTCTCCCTCTCAAACAAATTCAATTACATTATTTATTTACCTATATTGTAGAATTATTTTCACATTGGGAATCTCAACATATAACCAATATTATAGCCACTCTGCAATCCTCACAAAAATAATCTTTTCTGTTTTTTAGTACGAGCAATATAAATAATAATTAAAGCATGGTTTATCTAAACGAGTCAGGTAATTTCAACGTCATAGAATTCTATGTCATCGAACTTGTCTTGAGATCAATTAGGACGTCATGAAGATACAAATAGATGATTTAAAAAAAAAATAAAAATAAATAAATATACATGTCGAATTGAGTAACCTCCTCCTTTTCGAAGTCGGTTAAAAATACATTAACAACCTTTAAATAACACTGGCGATAATCTCGAACGGAAGTTGTGTTCATATTTGTCGTTATTATGATTTATTTTTTACTGGCGTGATTAATAATATTTCCTTTTTGTTATACATATTTTGTACTATATTTATTTGTATAGTATAAACCTTACAACTATGCTTATACATTATCCTTTTAGCTTAAGCAACAACTCACAATACACACCTACCAACACACACACACACACACACACACACACACACACACACACACACACA